TTACCGGAAACGTTTGAGATCCATTGATATACTGGAGCATATAACATAGTGATGTCGGCGCTGAAGTGTAGGCCTGATGTGGCCTGTCGCCGATTCTTTTCCTTTTCGTGCCTTGTTCATAGATCTAAACTCGTGTCATTTGACCGGATCTTTTCATGACTGACGATAGTTTACAATAGCTACTTCTACGAGACTTCCACCGGGTTCGATATGGTGCTAGGCATTTCAAATCTGAACATATATTTTTCCATAGCTTTATCTAGTCTGTTCTTGAACGCGTTCATACTTGGAGCGCCAACGATGTCATCGGGTTGGCTGTAAGCAATGTATCATGTAAATATGACGCGTCAAGTCGATATAAAGTGGTGGGTAACATTTTTCCTACAGCGGTTGAATTCTCACTAAACATGTTGTGCAAGTAGTGTTCGCTCGTTTACAAGGAAATTTATTTCGTTGAGACTTTAGTTTTCCGCCGTGTCCGTAGATTTTCTGATATTACTAATAGATCTAAGGTTAGCATTCTTTCATTATGCCACGAATGTGAATAAATTATTAATGCATAGGTATTTAAAATGCTAATCTATCCAGATTCCAGAAGATTCATATTTTTAGATTTTGTACAAGCGTGTCATCCGCATTTCAGGAATAGTGGACACCCGTCCGCGACCAGACAAGATACTATATAGGGGGTTTTTTGAGTTGGTACCCAAAGCAAAGAAAGTGGTAAGCTGGAATGTTAACACTAGGGAGGGGTAGAGCATAGAATTTTTGTACGGTGTTACTATGAAATGTGTCGTATGTACCGTATCATGTTTCAATACGAACTTCATAGAAACGACCATTACTCGCAACGTTATTGACTGAAAACCCTAATGCCGTAACGGTTGGCAATTTAATTAATTGCAAATGTTATACACATAAATATATGACACCTAAACGGGTGTTAATCATTAATTAGGACTTTGAAATTTCTGGAAGTCCTCTGTGGCAAAGGAAAGACTTTTAAGTCCTATATATACCTCTATAAGTAGGCCAGTAAGTATCATAGATAAATTGGATATTAGACTATTATCAGTATTATCAGTTAATCATACATAAGATAATTAGTTGTTACAATTTTGAGCTAGGTAATGGAAATTAAATTAAAAATGTAGCTAACAATTTCTGGTTGATGCTGTACATTTGTAATTAATAAATAAATAAGTTATTTTAAGTCATTGCTGTAAAATGCAACTCAGAAGTTTTGTTATATATGAATTGGGAATCTCTTAATGGAATCTTTAAATTATTACCATCAGATAGGAAATATTAAATAGTGGTTATAAAAATGGCTTTAAAAAATATTGGGATGCTAAATAAATGATTTCCCCTGCTAGCCTCAGGGAAGATAGAAAATTATTGCTCTGTACCAAAATCTTTAGCTTAATAGGCAAAAATTTTTATAATTTAGGAATCTTGCAGCTTGATCTTGCACTTCTGTTAACAATTAAATTAGATAAGAGATAATTTTCCCAGCATGGACCTTCGTGGCTCCAAGCCTCCAAAGATGGTGGAAAAGCTATAGTCATGTCTTGGAAATTATATAGATATATTAAAAACCTGCCATATTATTATAATTCTTATTAAGTTTATGAGATTTTCAAGCATATGAATTTTTCTATAAATAAGTAAATGTCTATTCTTATTTACATATAACCAGTGAAGTCTGCCTCTTACTTCTATTAATAATCTTCACGCATTTAAGTCACAACATTGGATGTAATTACTTTATTACATATCTATATTTTTATCCATGTAAATACCAATGATGTTTTTTTATACCAAATAATGTTTTTGTGTACATGGAGATGTGGGTAGAAAATGTCCACTTCCTTTCTAACTCTTGAAAAACTCCGTTAGGGTTCTTCAATTTTATAATTTATTGAAATCTTTATAGTCACTATATACCGGTGTATTAGTAATAAGTAGTATTTTTCCAAGAGGGGGAAATGTCCTATAAATAGGTTGGTTAGTAAAAAAGTTTGCAGACATTTGATGTAAGGCATCTTTTACTGATATTATTTTTATTTTTAACTTTTTTTAGTTTTAACTATTAACTGGAATAAAAGTTATAGATGAGAACAATACCTCATTGGTGGCGTTCAAATATAAGATGTATAAACATTCCATTTTCTTATAACAATTTAAATTAGTCAGTGAGGTTTTGCAGAGTTATATGTACCTATTCAAGGAATGGGGGTCTAAACATACTCAATTTTTGGTTAAATATTATGCAAATATATTTATATATATATATATAAATATTTATATATATATTTATATATACAGCTTAGGTAGAGGTCCCTCAGTCAAGGTGTGCTTTTTTGGAAATTTGGTTTTTCTTTTCAGTAATAATGTATACAGGTCATGTATATACCATGTCAAAAAATATCTTCTGAGTTATGGGAAGGCCTTATTCCAGGTTATCCTGTCCTCAAAAATATATAAATACTAAATATATGTTCAGTTAGATTTTATCACAAAATATTGGTTTTTATTGTATGCTTTTTACTTTTTATGGTTTGATTTTTATGGTCAGTTTTATGGTATAAAGTCATTGACATCATTAAGAAGACAGACTGGACAGAATTTCCATTCAGAACGTTCTATAAATAAGTCAATAAAAACTCCTATATTAATGATGCACTTACTATGACATTAACCACCACCTTGAAAGAGAATTATAATTTAATTTTTATTTAAATAGTAAGGCAATAAAAAATGAAAATTTTGCTCTGATCCTTGACGCATTTTCATGGCAAACTCAAACCAAGTCACAAGTTTGATTTAAATTATTATTATTCAAGTTAAATTGCTTTCTCTTGATTTATTTTGATAAACTTGAAAACTTGAATTTACTTTTTAACTTAATTTATTTATATTTAATTTTAATTTGACATTAAATATGGGAATGTAACATGGTGTTCTTCTCTACACTGTTAGGAATAAAGGGATCACATTGTCATAATAGGACAAAATATAACACTGATGCGCTCTCATGCCAGGCAAAACTGGGTCAGGATGACCCACACCCCTGGGGCAAGTAGTGCGTACATATTCGGACAATGTCTCTGTCATCTCTTTGAGTGTAGTCTTTAATTGCTGCAGTAGTGGAGGGACTCATAATTGATTATATAAGTTGCATCATCTCTATCATCACCACCATCATCTTTAGAATCTCCTCAATCATCACCACCATCATCTCTATCATCATCATCACTGCCATCACCTCTATCACCTTCACTATCAGCACCACCATCACCTTTATCACCGCCATCATCACCGGCCCCGCGGTGTCTTGGTTACCATGGCAACCGCGTGACTCATCACAACTGATCTGTCGTGACGTGTTGTGGTGTGTCGTGACGTGTTGTGGTGTGTCGTGACGTGTTGTGGTGTGTCGTGACGTGTTGTGTCGTGACGTGTTGTGGTGTGTCGTGACGTGTTGTGGTGTGTCGTGACGTGTTGTGNGTCGTGACGTGTAGTGTCGTGACGTGTAGTGTCGTGACGTGTAGTGTCGTGACGTGTAGTGTCGTGACGTGTAGTGTCGTGACGTGTAGTGTCGTGACGTGTAGTGTCGTGACGTGTAGTGTCGTGACGTGTAGTGTCGTGACGTGTAGTGTCGTGACGTGTAGTGTCGTGACGTGTAGTGTCGTGACGTGTAGTGTCGTGACGTGTAGTGTCGTGACGTGTAGTGTCGTGACGTGTAGTGTCGTGACGTGTAGTGTCGTGACGTGTAGTGTCGTGACGTGTAGTGTCGTGACGTGTAGTGTCGTGACGTGTAGTGTCGTGACGTGTAGTGTCGTGACGTGTAGTGTCGTGACGTGTAGTGTCGTGACGTGTAGTGTCGTGACGTGTAGTGTCGTGACGTGTAGTGTCGTGACGTGTAGTGTCGTGACGTGTAGTGTCGTGACGTGTAGTGTCGTGACGTGTAGTGTCGTGACGTGTAGTGTCGTGACGTGTAGTGTCGTGACGTGTAGTGTCGTGACGTGTAGTGTCGTGACGTGTAGTGTCGTGACGTGTAGTGTCGTGACGTGTAGTGTCGTGACGTGTAGTGTCGTGACGTGTAGTGTCGTGACGTGTAGTGTCGTGACGTGTAGTGTCGTGACGTGTAGTGTCGTGACGTGTAGTGTCGTGACGTGTAGTGTCGTGACGTGTAGTGTCGTGACGTGTAGTGTCGTGACGTGTAGTGTCGTGACGTGTAGTGTCGTGACGTGTAGTGTCGTGACGTGTAGTGTCGTGACGTGTAGTGTCGTGACGTGTAGTGTCGTGACGTGTAGTGTCGTGACGTGTAGTGTCGTGACGTGTAGTGTCGTGACGTGTAGTGTCGTGACGTGTAGTGTCGTGACGTGTAGTGTCGTGACGTGTAGTGTCGTGACGTGTAGTGTCGTGACGTGTAGTGTCGTGACGTGTAGTGTCGTGACGTGTAGTGTCGTGACGTGTAGTGTCGTGACGTGTAGTGTCGTGACGTGTAGTGTCGTGTGACGTGTAGTGTCGTGTGACGTGTAGTGTCGTGACGTGTAGTGTCGTGCTGACATTTACCTCAGGAGGCGCGGCTATAGGATGGCATTTCAAAGCTCGCTGGTGAAGCTCTGGGTAAAACCTCGGCAATAACAAACGTTATACGCATTGTTATAGACATGTTATATCAATATGTTATAACAAACGTTTAAAGTTATGTTACTATGTTAAAGGTTATATAACAAACGTTATATACATTGATAACAACTACTTTTTATTTCATTTATATTAGACAAAAACCTGTAATAAACTTGTAATTTTCGTCTAATCTAATTGATATCCTCTTAGATTGCGATTGTTTTGAATTAACTAATTTTTAATCGTGTACTGATAACTACCATTATGATTTTTGCTATGATTAAGTTATATATGTAATTATGTACAATTAATGATTATTAACATGAATATAATAATAATATGACGCCCGCTGGTGCCCCCAGGACGGTGGGCGGCAGCAGGAGGACCATGGGCGCCAGCGACCACCTCCCTGAGGAGATCTCCCTGCTGGGGTGAGTGGGGGTGTTGGGGGAGGGGGGGGAATGAGGGGAGTGATAAGGGGAGTGTGGGAGGTGTAGGGTGAGGAGGGGGAAGGGGGGGAGTGACGCTGTGTGTATGTGTGATTGTGCCACCTTGTGTTAGGTGTCGGTGCAGTTATATGTGCGTGTATTATACCTATGCAAAGTCGGTGTTTGAAAAAATCAGCATTTGTATATTGACGCCAAGGGTTCTGTATATATCAAGTGTATATCTATACAGTATCTTCACAGCTATACATATACTCATTTATATACTCATATGCGTTGCGATGTATCAAGATTGTTTGATTGCGTAGGGCATTAAATCGGCATTCGACTGCGCAGTACAACAGTCGTAATAGATTATTTGTATGCGGATGGCCAACTGAGAATTAATTTTATGGTAAGGGTTTATTTTGGGTTTTATTTTAGGTCTGTTGTAAAGAATGAATATTCATTCTTTAGTTCATTATTAATTTAGTCTGTCGTAAAGAATGACTGATCTATCTACTCACTTATGATATTATGAGAAATTTGCAGGCTTTTCCCTTATATCGACTCAATTTTTGCTTTAGTGTGAGTCATCCTGACATAGTTTGGACCGTAATAAAAGTTTATCAGTGCTACGAGGAGGAAGTGTGTCCATGTCTGGACCATTTGTCCACTTAATTTCTCTGAGAGCTCGAGTCGTTCGTTAGCCTCGCACTAATGCTACGAACAACGCGCGCGGTGTTGAGCAGCGCTTCGTGTTCACGCATACGAATGCCGTAATGCCTCACGAACCCAACACCGCCGCCGCCGTTCCTGCCTTCGTTCTGTTGCGTTCGTGAGCAGCTGGGAAAATTAGTGGGTCATGTTGTCGAAATAATGACGCACTTTCTTACCACGAGCACAAGACGTGTAGCACTGATACGCCCTTGTGCCCAGAAAAACTAGGTCAGGATGATTAAAATAATGGCTGAACGTGTATCGGTATTTAGTAAAAGTCTAAATTTCACATATATGTTTGTGACATATAAATAAAATATTGCTTATATTTATATATGCCATACGGTAGCGGTACACATGGCGGTCATGACAGCGTTCCTTTCTGCTGTAAGAAAACCTGTAAAATTCAGAAATCCAGGATATCGTTAATATCAACAAAAATAATTCATCACTATTCGAAAAAATGTTGATTACTTTCCGTCATGAAAGTTGGGTATCGTGATTACTACTAATGCTATCAATTTAATCATAAACTTAATCCTGCAGAAGTGTTCTGATTTTTAAATAACTGATTCGTCGATAGTATCGCTGCGACGAATAGAAGGGTTACCCATCTATTTCTCCGGTCGTTTTCTTCACGCGGTTACAACTCCACAGAAAACATTTCGCACCCCCTACTGATGAAATACCAGCTACCCGCTAAATTGGTAGGGAATATATTACATCTAATTTTTTTTAAACTTGGTAAAAGTTAGAAATTTTTTTATGATGTATGCTTATGATTGTAAATTCTTCGTGAAATGTTTATTATTTTAGACGATTATTTTAGACGATTATTTTAGACGATTATTTTAGACGATTCTATTACATTAGTCAGAAACGAATGCAATAGAAACGGCATTTAGAATAGGCTATTAGCTCTCGTGTATGGTGATGTAAATCTCTTGATATTCAGGCCAATTCACGGCTCATGAATTATTCAGGTAGGAATAACATGTGTCATTAGGAATGTGTAAACCTCTCATGAATTATTCAGGTAGGAATAACATGTGTCATTAGGAATGTTTCAACATCTCCTGAATTATTCAGGTAGGAATAACATTAATAACGTGTTTCAATTTTAATATACTTCTCTAATGCGTTTAAAAGTTTATTAAGAAATAGAATCTGGACACACCACAAAAAATACGTGTGTAAACAGAGGTGCACGGGCGTTGTTTACAAATTGAACTGGTAGATGATCACTGGTAGATGATCACTGGTAGATGATCACTGGTAGATGATCACTGGTAGATGATCACTGGTACATGATCACTGGTAGATGTAACTCTTAACCACTTAACAACTCTTAACCACTTAACAACTCTTAACCACTTAACAACTCTTAACCACTTAACAAGACGCTATCTTTTAACACGCCTACGCATCGCTGGGAATATAAAGCGATGTTGTGCAATGCAGGATATTTACATACATCCTTGTCCAGTGCCATCTTTGCCAGTAGTGGCCCGGGCCCGAGTGCCATCCAGGTTAGGCCTTTTTACGGCCAAATTTAACCATCTAAGCTTTTTTTGAGCAGCGTTGGTGAGCAAAAATATATGTTGGCCTTATATTTCTTGTATGTTTTAATGTAAATAATTTCCGTAATATTTCATATTAGCGCTTCAATCTAAAAATATACTGATAAATATCGAAATTCGGCCGGATTTGGCATTTTTTGTGAGCAAATTTGGCCGTTTTCTCTCGTTATCTGGCAACCCTGGACTGCCACCTCCACCAGACTCCAGAGTGAGTAATCAGTGTGGCTCCGGCCGTCGGCGCGTGAGGTTGTGTCGCGTGGCTCCGTTTTTATCCTTCATCCTCCATTGCCTCATCCCCCACTGGCACTTCATTGGGTGGCACCCATGGGGCCACCCTGAGGTATACCGAGGCTCTGGGTGGTGGGTTGCAGCGCCGGGTGGGTGACTTGGTTGTTGGGTTGCCTGGTGGCGGCGAAGGTGAAATCGATTGACGGCGACCAGCCTCCGTAGACTTGATGGGCGGTGCTGTGGTGCTGTGATGTGCTGTGCTGTGGTGTGCTGTGGTGCTGTGATGTGCTGTGGTGCTGTGATGTGCTGTGGTGTGCTGTGGTGCTGTGGTGCTGTGATGTGCTGTGGTGTGCTGTGGTGCTGTGATGTGCTGTGGTGCTGTGATGTGCTGTGGTGCTGTGATGTGCCTCCTGTGGTGCTGTGGTGCTGTGATATGCCTGCTGTGGTGCTGTGATGTGGTGCTGTGATGTGCTGTGGTGTTGTGATGTGCTGTGGTGTGCTGTGGTACTGTGATATGCTGTGGTGCTGTGATGTGCTGTGGTGNATTGGTCCTCCTGTCGCTCAATCAATTGGTCCTCCTGTCGCTCAGTCAATTGGTCTTGTCGCTCAGTCAATTGGTCCTGTCGCTCAGTCAATTGGTCCTCCTGTCGCTCAATCAATTGGTCCTCCTGTCGCTCAGTCAATTGGTCTTGTCGCTCAGTCAATTGGTCCTGTCGCTCAGTCAATTGGTCCTCCTGTCGCTCAATCAATTGGTCCTCCTGTCGCTCAGTCAATTGGTCTTGTCGCTCAGTCATTTGGTCCTGTCGCTCAGTCCATTTGTCCTCCTGTCGCTCAGTCAATTGGTCCTCAATCAATCCACCTGTCACCTTCCGACGCATTTTGTTTTGTTAATTTAACCCGTATTTGTTCCTCTTTTGTGACCCGCTACCCCATCAGGGCTACCCACAGTTTTGAACAGTGATAAGCTACCCAATTTTGGGCAGTGACAAGCTACCCAGTTTTGGGCAGTGACAAGCTACCTAGTTTTGGGCAGTGATAAGCTACCCAATTTTGGGCAGTGACAAGCTACCTAGTTTTGGGCAGTGACAAGCTACCCTGTTTTGGGCAGTGACAAGCTACCTGCGTTGATTATGGCGCCTGTGGTCGGCGAGAATGCAGACGCCGAAAAAAGGTGCGTATAGCATAAGACTTAAAACCACCGTAGAACCTTGATAACATTTTAGACGTAGCAGTCCATGCCACGCTGGAGCACCGTCTTCTTAATATCCCGCCCCTGGTATAGGTAAGCCGTCGTAAACGTCAAGGTACGGGGGGCAGTGGAACGTGACTACCGTGCATCTGTCCTCCGTTGGCCAGCTGATGATCTCAGTTGCGCTAACTGATGCCCACTTCAGCTGATGCCCGATGCTGCATGCTGCTTGGTTTTTGCTGTTTGTAATGGTGCCTAGGTGGACGATCCGGTATAGTTCTCAGGAACAAGTGAAGTCTTCTTTTGGAGGTCTCCAGGGTGCACAGTGAACTCCACTGGTTTCAGTTACATCGGTAAAGCGTTTAACAGCCTCTGTCCCGCAACGTGAGCGGATACTTCTAACAGGGATTGAAATTTGACCTCAACCCTGTTGCGTAAAGGAAATATCATGCAGTCGTCCCATTCTCTCCCGCCTCCGCCAGTAGTTCAGCCCACCCCATTTCGCGGATCGTGGAGTAAAGGTTCGCAAGACCGCTTCCACTTGCCGCCATGAACGGGCGTCCATAGCTAGCAGCAGTACTCACGAATAGGGAGCAAAATGGCTCTGAAGAGTCCGATCGTCGGTTCGGCTTCTTTTGTTCTGAACGTCCTCTAGATCCACCCCGTCTCTGTGTTAGGAATAACTCGCCCATGCTGGAGCGTTGTGCTGTCGAGTATCAGTGTTTTCTGCAATCTGCACTGCAGCGCGCATAGGTGTTCGCTTGTATCTTCTGAATCTTGTCCTCGGTCTTACGCTGGTAACTTTCGTTATGTTTACCTTGGCAGTTGCTTCTAGCACTTCAACACTAGACTTACCACCAACTTGGTTACGGTTCCCAACTACAGACAATTACACCGCGGCCGCTCAGTTAGCTCACTGGCTCAAGACTGCTTCCTGACGCTTGCCCCGCTACTTATGTACCCCGCAACCCACAACGGAACGTCACTTTGATTTCACCCCAAACAATCTCAGAGTTTTTCCCGTTAACAAGAACAAACACTTCGCACTATATCTTGATAATCTAATTTTCCCCCAAATCACACCCTTATTAACATTCGTAATTCCTACTCTTATCGTATATTATCCTCAACTTGAGGTACTAGGAACGTGTCTTCATGTTTTCCAGAGCCAAGTCAATAGGACCTTCAGTAGGTTGACTCATTTTTTCATTATCACCGCATGAATCCATCCTTCACAACAGCAGAAATAGTCGATACTGCAGCTGTAGATCAATATCTTCATTTAGGTGCACCAGATTATCCATATCCCTGGAGGCGGCCGCTATCTGCTTATTCAACCTCGCTTTACCACGTTTTACTGATTTTCACTTTCAGAGCTGTTAAATTGTTAGGTATCAATTAAACCCAGTTTAGGCAAGGGGCTTTATGGACTAGTTTCCAGTGCTCCTATAAGAATAAATAAGAAAGAAAAAGAATTGTCGTTTGGGGCGTCGTTCTTTTCGGGGTGTGACAGACGCACTTTAAATACTTCTCATAGCTCGTACAATTGCTTCGGCATTTAACTCCTGAAACTGTATCTCTTACGACCACCGTATATCTTTAAGACCGCCGTATATCTTTAAGACCACCGTATNGTATCTCTTACCACCACCGTATCTCTTACCACCACCGTATCTCTTACCACCGTATCACCGTATTGCGCAGTAGCCAGGTGGGGCTATATCCTCTTTAATAGCCCCCGTACCCTCGCTTGTCCCCTCGCAGGGAGTAGAGGGTAAGGGGAGGCTTGCTCCTCCCCTTATTTCCCCTCTTTTTATTACTAAATAATAACCCATCTGTTCGCCTGGGGCTTGGGGATTTGTTCTTCCTATAACATTCCCCAAATCCCTGTTAATTTTTGAGACATATAATTAATTCCCCATTGGGGAAATATACCTCCCCTTCACTTCCCCTTTCTTTGTTCCCTCTCTCGCTGGGGCTGGGGGATTAAAGGGGACTCTGCTGCGCAGCTGAGGGACAGGCGTGTACACTCCCCACTCACCTGGACCACTCAACACTCCCCCTACTCACCTGGACCACTCAACACTCCCCCTACTCACCTGGACCACTCAACACTCCCCCCACTCACCTGGACCACTCAACACTCCCCCCACTCACCTGGACCACTCAACACTCCCCACTCACCTGGACCACTCAACACTCCCCACTCACCTGGACCACTCAACACTCCCCACTCACCTGGACCACTCAACACTCCCCACTCACCTGGACCACTCAAAAGTCACGGTATCGCTCACTGCACATATACTGTTCAGTCTTTACATATATACTTTTTATCGGTATATATCTTTAGATATACAAATACTATACACAGAAAAATGTACATATTTATTAGCAGATGAGTTACATTTCAATGTTATTTGAATGCTTAACGCTACTCATATTCATAACTAATGCTAATATTTCACATTAATTCTTCTACTTACCCTTGAAAATATGTTTGAGTTTCCCTCTTACTTAAGAAAATCCATTTTCTCTGACGAACATTTATTTATCCCAATAAATCTACGGGGTTCGAAACCACATAGTCATTTACAAATTTTGTCATATTCCACACAGCGTGGTCGTACAAATGTATACAGCATCGTCGTATAGTTCTATACATTAAAATATTATAATGAATATACACCTCCCATAAGTATATCCTTCACAATTCCCAGGAGTCCGCGGTTTTTGCTTCCCATTTTAGCCCAAAAGTTCACAGGTTTCGCTCCCCCGTTTTGGTGGCTGCGTTGGATGTAGTTTGCTTTGTTTGAGTCACCCATCGCATCCATGTATTGTTTGAGTCACCCATCGCATGTATATGTGAGGAGAATCCATGACGGTCTTCGCTGCCTCAAAGCAAACAGAAAGGCTTTGAAAAGTTGTCGTGTAATGACAGGCTGGCAATGCCTTGATGCAGCTTCAAAGCCAGCGCTACAAAGAATAAAAATATAACTCAGTACTCACTGCAGTGAGTGACAGAGAGCGCATTTTCTCCTCGACGAAAACATGAAGTCACGGACGGCAGACGGACGGACGGACAAACCGACAGACGGACAGACGGACGGACGGACAAACCGACAGACGGACGGACGGACAGACAGATAAGGACGAGCACAATAGCGCCTTTTTCCATAAATGAGAAAATGCGCTAAAAGCAATGGGTCGAATGATCCAAAAGCTAGCACACGCTCTTTTGCTGTGCTAAAACTGGGTCAGGATGACTCATAAAAACGTACGAATTGCAGCGCTTCTGTGACCAAGTTCATTGCCCAGAGTGAAGTAGCTAGGAAGCTTCTGGTCTATGATTTGCGAGAAATACAACGCAGTGTTATTGTTAACATATTTTGAAAGTTCAGAGCCTACATCTTTTATTAATGGAGTGATATGCGGGCAAAGCATGCCCAATATTATTAAATTATTATTATATTTTTTTATTGAATGTCCAATATTCTTCAGTGCATTTCCACAGCAGCATACACACCTCGGGTCTGGCAGGTACCCTGCACGGCTGGTGTGAATGCTGCCATGGAATAATTGAAAAATAATAGGCTGAATTGAATGCTAATAATAATATAATAATAATATTATTCTATTAATAATTATATTATTATAATATATTATATTATTATAATATTATAATAATATTATTCTACGCTGAGCAATATTGTACTGGACCGTGACGGGCCCGCGGTGTGTACCCGGCCTAACTTCGTGCTCGGGATATATTGTGTTAAGGCCTGTATGTTCGTCGCTATGACTAATGATTGTGAAATATCTGCTATCCAGATTATATATTGTCCGATTATATATTATCCCTTATCCCGATTATCCGTTATCTCTCGTGAAATATCCGTTATCCCGATTATATATTATCCGTTATATCGAAATTATCCGTTATCCCGATCAAATCCTCACAAGACTTGTATGCCTAAACAAAACATCAAGTGCACATACAACATAAGCAGCATCTTACCAATGCCATGATTCTTTATAGGAAAACTTTATATATTTTTTGAAAATGCAATACCATAATAAATGAAACTCTTGTAGTATAAAAAATAATAACTTTTTCTCGTATAATACTGAAGTTGTATTGTCTCGAATTAGTGAAGAATCGCTCAAGAATCTGAGCTTCCAATCTCGATGCGAAGTTTCCTGAGACTGGCAGATCCATTCAATATCTTAACTTGCGTGTTAGTTCAATCGTCACTAACTATTTGCCCCGTAATCTTCTCAACTACATTTCTGACCTCTTGCCTCAATTTTTGACCTCTTAGACTAAGGGCGGTTTTTGGGTGGTCATTCAAAAGCCAGCGGTCGGCCGGGGCCAATTTGCTCCGGCCGACCGCTGGCCGCTCACGACCAGTGGAAGGGTTCTTCTAGAACCCCTAACAAGTTATTAGCTCTGTATTAGTCTTCAAAATTGTGACAATTATTGTTTTAATCTACGGAAGTTTCACTAACCTCTTGCTGGGCCTATACTTTCAAAACACGTTAAGAGATCGTAAGTTCATCAGCCAATCACTGACGGCCTTTCAGGCAAAATCCACCAATCATAGACAAGAAAATAGTGCGTAAGTACTTACGTTCACTTAGTGAGTTTTGAAAGTATGACCCTCTGGTTTAGTCCCATCTATCACGAGAATTAAGGCGTATTCAGAATTAGCTCTGTATTTGTCTTCAAAATTGTAACAATTATTGTTTTAATCTACGTAAGTTTCACTAACCTGCTGGTTTATAGGCCGATCTATCATTAGAATTAAGGCGTATTTATATATTCATGCCGCAGGTCACGTATCATTTGGTATTCCAAACCGGAGCTTCGGCAGAGCGAGACGCACTTGACGGGCTTCTGGCGGTGGTGGTGGTGGTGGTGACGGTGGTGTGGTGGTGGTAGTGGTGGTTATGAGGGGTGTGTGGGTGTAGGGTGTCATGGT